TTTAAAATTAATGTGCATAATTTGTAATTTGAAGTAGTATTCACCTTTGTACCTGATAGATTGACCCTTGTCAAAATTAGTCAACTTCATCATCGTCTTGCAGTCCTTTCTTCCCATTTAGAATGTCTTGTATTTTTAAAAATGTTATCAATGTGTTCTATTTTTCCCATAAGTACCAGTGCAAGACGGTGTAAAATGATTTCCTCCTCCCTCATAAGACAACACATTGACCTCTGTCTTGCAGCCCATTATCCCCTCACAGTACGTCTTGCATCAGTATCCAATGGCTATTCTACATTCAAGCTTTAATCTAAATCAACAATTGAGTGGTGTGAAATGATATTTCACCCCTCTGAAAAATTGACAATTTCTATCTAATATTACAACCCGAAAACCCCCAGGAAAATGTCTTGCATAGGGTATTCTAATTTTGTTTGTGTACAAATTAACTTAATAAGTAAATGCAAGACGGTGTGAAATTGTATATTTTCCTGGATTATGACGACATTTTCTCAAACATTTTTATCAGCTAAATTCCCCACTCCCATATATTTTACTGCGCAAGTGCGTTTCAGCATCATGTTATCTAACTGATGATAACAATGCAAGACGGTGTAAAATGATTTGATGAAATAGGCCTCGTATCCCGTACTACTAGTCATAGAGTACAAGTTAACTTCACACTCATTTCTGATGCAAATATTTGGACGTTAATGGTGGCAATTAGGTTTTTTTCAATATTCCTTTCAATTTTCCCATTTTTTATCATGCAGGAAAAGGGAGAAAAGAAAAGGGTCGATCCTCAAACTTTTCGAAAAATGAAATTTTATCAATATAGTGACCAGATACAAAGGTACCATCTAAAATAAAGAGACAGATAAGGCGACAAATCAAGAAAAAAGTGCTGCATGGGACAAAATTACCAAAAAATTTGATTCCACTTCCCCTGTAACAAGCTACTGGTCGAAGGAGTGCTTAAAAAGGGATCTAAGGTTCTAGCCAAAATCTATGTTCTAGTGACTTTAGGTCTCAACTTCTATGGAATAATTTTGCAGGCATTTCACCTATAGATATGAAAACCTTTTGGTAGGTTTTAGTAACAAACACGCATTATTTCAAATTCAAGACAGTGTTATTTAAAAAATGTTTTCTGTTTTTTTTTGGTGGATTTACGTTTCCGAGGATCTTCTCTTTGAGGTTTGACGAATGGAGTGAGGAATCCGAGACTCAAAAATAATGTAAATTTCAAGATCCCATAACTTATTGAAGATTGTAAGTAGGTACTTGTGTTCGTACTAACCACGTTGAAGGTTATTGGTCGTCATTCAAGGAATACCTTAGGTACTTTAAGGAGGTTAGGAGTAATGCAGTCTCCCTTAAATTTCTTGTGGATTATATCGACCAATTTATGTGGTTTCAAATTTATGGAATACCTACAAAGCAAAGGCATATCACTAGGAAATTCATCTTTCATACACAGCTAATAGCCACCGATAGTAGAGTAGGTAGGGAATTTTCGTAGATTTTCGAAAGGTATCAAATCGTCATTGACCCGCAAATCATCAATTTTGAATATAATTTTCTGATGGAAAATAAGTATGCATTTTGCGCAATTATATTTTATTTATAGCATAAACGTTTCTATTTGATTTGAATCTTTCTCAATTAAAAAAAATAATGACGTTTTTATTTGGACCTATACCTAAGTCATTAGACCCAAAAATCGTTAACTGTTATTTTTAACCACCAAAATTGGGGGTTTATTTTAACAGCAGTGTAGAGGTACTTAAGCAAGGATTAACTTGCGGTGCAAGTCGGTTACGAAAAATAAACGTTTGTTAAAATTAAAACATCTTTAACTAACGGTGCAAGTGGGCATAACTGAGTTACAGATTTTTTTTTAATTATTAGAAGACTGCTGGCTTTACGTTTACATGTTGGTGTGTCAGAATGGCAAAAAAAACTTCGGGATCTATATAATAATTAGGTGCTTTTTAGGTGTTAATTAGGGCCTCTAATAAAAAATTAGGTGCTCCTCTAGTTTTTGAGAAAATCAAAAAAAACTAAGGGACTACTAGGTTTATGAAAGCTAGTAGTCCCCTAATAATTTTAAAAAAAAATCTGTAACTCAGTTAATAATTAATCAATTCTATCTTTTCTTCGATTATTTAGGAGCACTTAAATAGCACCTAATTCTGATACAAAAAAAAAATACTATAGGGGATTGCTAGCAGTCATAAACCTAGCAGTCCCTTAATTTTTCTTGATTTTCTCAAAAACTAAAGGAGCACCTAATTTTCAATTAGAGGCCCTAATTAGCACCTAACTATTACATAATGTCTGCCCAGCGATTCTATGTCTACGGGGCAACGGTAAGGGGAATACAGTTGTAAAAAAAATGGCTGATTTCATTCATAAAATACCCAGCTGCGTGCGGAACTTTTTGGAAGTGTTATCGTATTGCAACTCGTACACGAAAATCGACAATGACCAAACCGCCGCCACTGGATATTTCAATATAAATCGATATTCCAAAATGGGAGGATAAAATGACAAGAGCCCTGGCCAATAGCGAGACGTAAGGTGACGTTAGCCCACTGACAATTGCATGGTTCCCGTGGCAACGGCAATCCTGCCAAAAACTCCACCAATCAGGTTCATCCAGGCCGGATCCTTGCCAAATTGTCAAAAGCTGATGGATTCTTTAGAAAATGTTTATTTTTTACAATAGACAAAATTGAAGAAATCAGTTATTAAAATAAGCATAGATCTAACAACCACGTTGAAATATTTAGAGTTTCATTGTTATCTACATTTTGTTATTAAAAAATAGATTTTCAAATGAACTATACTTCATGCCTAATATTTTCGCTTTTTTATAATTAAACGTGGCAGCATCGCACATTTACGTCCGAATTCCTTCCGTAGACTCAGAACCGCTGGGCAAACAATAGATCCCGAAGTTTTTTTTCCATTCTGACACACCAACAAGTAAACGTAAAGCTAGCAGTCCTCTAATAATTAAAAAAAAATCTGTAACTCAGTTAATAATCAATCAATTCAATTTTTTCTTCGACTTTTCAGGAGCACCTAAAAAGAACCAAATTCTGACACACCAACAAGTAAACGTAATGCCAGAAGTCCCCTTATAATTGAAAAAAAAATCTGTAACTCAGTTAATAATTAATCAATTCTATTTTTTCTTCTATTATTTAGGAGCACCTAAAAAGCACCTAATTCTGATACAAAAGAAAATTTTGGAAAAATATTTTTTACTATAGGGGACTACTAGCTTTCATAAACTTAGCAATTCCTTAGTTTTTTTTTTGATTTTCTCAAAAACTAGAGGAGCACCTAATTTTTAATTAGAGGCCCTAATTAGCACCTAAAAAGCACCTAATTATTATATAGATCCCGAAGTTTTTTTGCCATTCTGACACACCAACAAGTAAACGTAAAGCAAGCAGTCCCCTAATAATTAAAAAAAAATCTGTAACTCAGGTAATAATTAATCAATTCTATCTTTTCTTCGACTATTTAGGAGCACCTAAAAAGCACCTAATTCTGATATAAAAGAAAATTTTGGAAAAATATTTTTTACTGGGGACTACTAGCTTTCATAAACCTAGCAATTCCTTAGTTTTTTTTGATTTCCTCAAAAACTAGAGGAGCACCTAATTTTTAATTAGAGGCTCTAATTAGCACCTAAAAAGCACCTAATTATTGAATAGATCCCGAAGTTTTTTTTGCCATTCTGACACACCAACAAGTAAACGTAAAGCCAGCAGTCCCCTTATAATTAAAAAAAAATCTGTAACTCAGGTAATAATTAATCAATTCTATCTTTTCTTCGACTATTTAGGAGCACCTAAAAAGCACCTAATTCTGATATAAAAGAAAATTTTGGAAAAATATTTTTTACTGGGGACTACTAGCTTTCATAAACCTAGCAATTCCTTAGTTTTTTTTGATTTCCTCAAAAATTAGAGGAGCACCTAATTTTTAATTAGAGATCCTAATTAGCACCTAAAAAGCACCTTATTATTATATAGATCCCGAAGTTTTTTTCCACCTTGGGACTGCTAGGTTTATAGACCTACGCTCTGTAGCTCTTTTTGAAGGAAGAGTTGTCATTTTCCAGCAATCTGATAGTATCAATCATATTGCGAATGTCGTTTTCAAGAATTTCAAGAATTTTCTTTGCCAAGCTGTGCATTGGTCTGTCTAATAGCCATCGAAGAACTATTCAATATTGCAAGAACACAGACGCATTCAGCGTGGTCGCCAACCTTCAATGGAAAGACTGCATGAAAAGAAGAACAAGTCAGCTTTCCAAAAGCTTCATTTCAAAACTTCATGCTTAACTTCTGGACTAAGACTAATTTGCATTCTGGCCAAGAATACTACATTGTCGCTATTTCCTATTGGCGTTGATTCAAAATAGCATTCTATTTTCCATTCGATTTATGTCCAGAGATCTAACAACAATTGGTTGCTTTGTTTTTCTGTTTTAATTGATGAGTTTTGTGCAGTCAATAAACCACCTCCAGTTATTATGACAGGCTTTTTTTCTGATAATGCAGAATTCAGAAAATTTATAGGTTTTCAATCAGTTTCTTCAGTTGAGTAATCAGGGCTGGGATTTTGTAACCAATAGAAATATTTTCGCTATACCTATTGACGTCCCCTCTCTATTAATTTCAAAAAGAAAGAAGAAGACAGCAAGTGCCATAGCGTTAGGGATAACGATCTCTGTCCATTACAGAATCCCACCTCTGGACTGTATTTACAGAAAATCTTAAACCTGCAACTACTTCTTTGTACCATAGTGATTGAATTATTGATGATTAAGTCTAGGATTTAGTGGAATACTTTTCATTTATAATATTTACCTGAATTTTGTTCCCATTATTGTGATTAAAAAGACAAAGATCAACAGCTTTTCTATAGTTCATTACATAATTTTTTAAAATTATTAATCAAACACACAATTTCTGTAGGTGTTATCCGGTGGATTGGCTTCAACACTGAAACGAACTTCATCTTGGTGGGCATTGAGCTCGAGGAAGAAGTCCCAGCTGATCTTCCTCTCACCCTCACTGATGGTACGCACAATGGCGAGCGTTTCTTCAAATGTTTCACCGATCGGGCCTTTTTTGTACCCTTGGATAGGTGCCGGAAAGACCCCAGGTTCCAAGATGGTGTGCCTACAACCCCGGTGCATCAAGCGGTACCTAATGAAGTGGTTAGTTGATAAATTTATATTTTTTTGAAGCAGGTATTGATGTTTTTTTCTATAGGTTGAATGTCCTGTGATTCCCGGAGCAGTAGCTCCTCTATGTATGCCTACGGAAGAAGATGTACAAGCTGTTTGTGGAAAGTACCGAGGTATTCAAGGGCACCACAATTCGTGCTATTTGGATGTGACTTTGTTCTCTATGTTTACATATTCAGCAGTTTTTGATAGTCTAATATTTAGGCCCAAAAATCAAGCTGATATTCCCGATTATGAAGAAGTATGTGTGTTAATATTGAATTGTAATATTAATTAACAAATTATTTATTTTAGGTTCAAAGGGTCTTGAGGGAGGAAATAGTAAATCCTCTTAGAAAAAACTTGTTTGTGAGTGCCGATAATGTTATGAAACTAAGGAGATTGTTGGACAGGCTAAGTTCGGTTTCTGGTTTAACTAGTGAAGAAAAGGATCCAGAAGAGTTTTTAAATTCGTTATTAGCTCAAATCCTGAAAGCCGAGCCATTTTTAAAATTAAATTCAGGCCAAGTATGAAGGTTATAGCTGTATAGCAATTTAAATTATTCTAATTCTTATTTCTTTCTAGACGGCTTTCTATTATCAGTTATTTGTCGAAAAAGACGCAGAATTAAGCCTTCCAACGGTACAGCAACTTTTCGAGCAAAGCTTCTTAACGAGTAATATAAAATTAAACGAAGTGCCATCCTGCCTGATCATACAAATGCCTAGGTTTGGAAAAAACTTTAAAATGTATCCTAGAATTCTTCCTTCACAATTGTTGGACGTCACTGACGTTATTGAAGGATGTAAGTGCAAAAACTTTTGTTGAAATTTATGTAAAAAATAATCCTGTTTTTTTTTTTCGCTTTTAGCTCCTCGTCAATGTATCGTGTGTGGAAAATTAGCGGAATGGGAATGCAAAGAATGTTTTGCAGAGTGTTCGTCCGCGGCTGGGTTAGAGAGTACGGCTTTTTGTACCACTTGCCTTTTGACGGCGCACAAGCACGAAAGAAGGCAGAGGCACACGCCCGGAAAACTGATGGTGAATGAGGACTTTTTGGCTGTGCAGGAGCATTATAAGTAAGTGAATTGTAATTGTAATTTTTAACATGGCAATAATTATTTTATAACAATTTTACTGTTCAATCGTCAATCTTTTGATATCCATCTGCAACAATTCCGCATTCCATTGTGTACTTTTTCTTGAGGGTAAAGTTTTACATAAAAATTGAATCATTCTCAATTAACGCTTGAATATCAATGGTGGTTCATTTGCACCATGATCTGCTTGGACAAAAGATACATTTATTTTTGTTTTAGGCCTCCGAGATTATTTATGGAACTTTTTGCTGTGATTTGTATAGAAACTTCTCATTATGTAGCGTTTGTTAAGTGTGGTGTGGGTCACGAGGCACCTTGGTGTTTTTTTGATTCTATGGCTGATAGGAAAGGTAAGATATTTTTGATTTTTTGAAAATATTTTGATTAAATATTTGTAACTTTAGGTGAAAGAGATGGTTACAATATTCCTGAAATGGTAGCCTGTCCTGATATTTCGCAATGGCTTTCAAATGAAATTGCTTGCAGGTGAGTCATGTTAACCTATTTAATGCTCTTTGAAACTGTTTGTTAGAGAGTTGTTAGTTTGTTAATGCAGCTAGATCAATCGTTAGTTAAGTCCCTGTTAGTTAAGAAAAACCTATTTATCATAAAAATTAACATGCACAACTTTACAACTGTACTGTATAAAGGAAAAGTTAGAGTTTTGTAGGTACTTGCCAAATTAAGATAACTGCAACAAATCTTTATTTTCAGGCAATTACATGAAGAATTCCCAGTAGATAGACATTTGCCGGAACATGCGAGAAGATTACTTTGCGATGCCTACATATGCATGTATCAGAGCCCTGACGGTATGATGTACAGATAAACTACGGACTAATTAAGCTATTGGATGTATTATACTAGTGATAATAAGATTGAAGGCGTAGAGGTTAATGGAATTATTTGCAAAACAGTTAAAATTCTACATAAACCTCAATAAACATCAAAAAGTGACTGACTATTCCTATTACAGTTGTTCATAAATTATATCCGGGAAGATTTTCTAATAATACGAGTGAGAGAACGAATTTGTACAGGGTATCCTACTCAACAATAACTTAAGTAACCTCAAAAGTAGAATCAAGTCAAGTGTTTAGTTCTTATTTCAAGTAGATTTTTCTCTTCTTTTTTTGTTTAATAAAATTTGAGAAGAGACACAACAAACATGACAATTGAATAGTATTTATTGTTTTCTAGATGAAATAACTATTTATTAAAATCATTACCTCTACTAAATAAAGTAATGTTTGTTTCACGAGGGTTTGTACTTTTGACATCATTTGCCTTCCTTTTTTAACAAATAAAATTTCATTTGTTAAAAAAGGAAGGCAAATATGTCAAAAGTACAAACCCTCGTGAAACAAAGAGTACATATTACTAATTATAGTAAATTTTAAAAACACAAAACTAATATAGAAAATTATCTCTGTTGAAAAGTGTAAGTATGTACTTGAATTTTTTTCCAAATTGAAATTTTAAAGCGCCTAAATGGGACGCCCTGTATATCATGCAATTTAGCTTTAGTACCGTTTAACGATATTGTGATTTCTATTTTTTAAGTGTATTGGAACATTATCTTCGCTATTAATTATTTTTTTTCTAAAGTAGAAATATGTATTTCTTTGTAATTTGCTCAGAAATGGAGTTTTTCTCATTTGGACTATTTACCATAGATAGGAAAATCCAATACTGAGCATTTTATCATATTTATGTAAAAAAAATGCAAGACAAAATTGGCTCAAATTATAAAGTGTTAAAAAATGTAAAATAATGATAAACATTTTTACAGCAGAAATTAAGTATAACAATGAATAATAACATATAGTGTTTATATAATTTTGTTTTGCATTATAACAGTAACTGATGATTCCTTCATAAATTAAAACTTTGTACATACATACATACTATTTTTCACCATAAAATGCCTAGTATTGCTATTTTTTTGGCATGTTATTTTTGTTAGGATGGAAGCTTTCCTATCATTCATCACATTTCAAGATATTCTATTATTGAAAATTAGGTAGGTATTATATTTATTTGTTGAGAATATGCAGTATTTACGTTGTTTAGGGTCTTAATATAGAATGTGACAGTTAAGTTTCATAGCTTTAAGAAAAAATTCAAGAGAATTAAATTGCTTCTTTAATATGATTTTTTTTTTGAATCCAGTTAATCGGCTCCTTTTTTCAATTTTTTTTTCAAAAAAATCAATCATAAATATCAAATATTCAAAACTATGAAAAAAATAGCAAACATTGCTCAACAACCAAATTTCAATATTTTAAAGGTATCATCATTGCAAAGTGCGTAGGTCCTGCTATGCTATGCATAGGAAATATCCGAGGAAATAACCCTATGTAGATTTTCTTGAATATCTCGAAAAATACTAATCCGATTTTGACGTTTTTGGTGTCCTTTTGTAAGTATCTAACTCCAAAAAGGTCAAAATCAGATTAGTATTTTTCGAGATATTCAAGAAAATCTACGTAGGGATATTTCCTCGGATATTTCCCATGCATAGCATAGCAGAAACTACATACTTTGATGAGCTATTGCCCGTATTACATCTGTGTATTTTTCCGTGTATTTAAGTATTCCTGTAGTTCAGGGTGACAACCGAAAAATTCAGACTTAACATAAATCAGCATTATGAAAAACAAAATAATCTTGGCACCCTGAACTACATGAATAAATACACGGAAAAATACACAGATGTAATACAGGCATCAATCTGCTATCACAGACATACGGTCCTCTTTACATTTCAAATTTTTTTTTTGCGATGATGATACCTTCAAAATATTGAAATTTGGTTGAAATTTACGGGGGCCTATTTTCAATGTTAATTGTGCCTCCTTTAAAAAAACTATTGTCCAAAGTACAGGGTGGCCCAAATTCGAGCTTCATCATTGGGATTTCGGTAACCGTAAGAGATCCGGGGTCGGTTAAATTATGGCAAAGTTGCGCAATTTTATGACCAATAGAATGCCATTTTGAAATTAGAAAGATTCCAAATACTTCCGAAGATATTTGGAAAAAACCGAAATTTTATAAAATCGTTTTTATTTTTTCCTGGGCCTATTTGGAGACCAATTTTAAAATAAATGTCACTTCATCGTTGTCACTTTTTCCCCTTTAGAAGATAGTGCTATTAAATTTAAAATTCGACGTTTCGTCTTCAGGCGGCCATCCTCAACTTACTTTTTTCAAATACGGACCTGGATTTTTTTATTTACGATTTTGTCATCTTTGGGCATCCTGAAACCGATACTGTTTATAATTTTTCAATAACACAGCAAAAAAAGCAAGTCCGTATTTAAAAAAAAATTAATTGATGATGATTCCAAAGGAACGAAACGTTGGATTTTAAATTTAATACGGCCATCTTGTAGAGAAGAAAAAGTGACGATGTCAATGTGAAATTAGTTTTTCAAAATCTTTTCAAATGTAATCAGGAAAAAAATTCAAAAATACGAGAAATTCATGTTTTTTTCGTATAGTTTTTTTTTTCCTTATTTTATTTAAAAAGATTTTGAAAAACTAATTTCACATTGACATTGTCACTTTTTCTTCTCTACAAGATGGCGGTATTAAATTTAAAATCCAACGTTTCGTTCCTTTGGAATCATCATCAATTAATTTTTTTTTAAATACGGACTTGCTTTTTTTGCTGTGTTATTGAAAAATTATAAACAGTATCGGTTTCAGGATGCCCAAAGATGACAAAATCGCAAATAAAAAAATCCAGGTCCGTATTTAAAAAAAATAAGTTGAGGATGGCCGCCTGAAAACGAAACGTCAAATTTTAAATTTAGTAGCACCATCTTCTAAAGGGGAAAAAGTAACAATGATGAAGTGACATCTATTTCAAAATTCTTCTTTAAATAAGCCCAGGAAAAAATAAAAACGATTTTACAAAATTTCGGTTTTTTCCGAATATCTCCGGAAGTATTCAGAATCTTTCTAATTTCAAAACGTCATTCTATTGGTCATAAAATTGCGCAACTTTGCCATAATTCAACCGACCTCGTATCTCTTACGGATACCGAGATTCCAATGATGAGGCTCAAATTTGGGCAACCCCTAGCTGACGTCATACACAACCTCACTTTCGACTTTCGATGGGGGGACAAACAAAGCGTTGTACAGGGTGCTTTTTTATGTATTGACAGCCCACCTACAGCCTTTACCTTTACAGGTAGAAGAAAGATATAAATACAAAAGTTGTACATTTTTGGCTAAATTTTCAGTATCGATAGTCAGAAACAAAAATTGAATGTCAGAATTGTGAAATTTTGCATGCTTTCAGCTTTTTTCAAATGGGATGCCCTATATTTGGTTCGATATTCTTGAAGAGCGCAATGCCCCGATTCCGTGAACCATTCTACCTGTACATACAGGTAAAAGCTGCAGGTAAGATTTGAGGTACCTACTTGGTTTTTCTGATAGTATTTTTATAATTCTCAGGACCAAATATGTCGGAGACGGATCAACCAAATATAGACAAACTCTGTGTCGAGTTTCAGAAAGGATTTTGAGAAATTTGGACAGTGGAAAAAAAGTTATAGGTAGTTTCCTGGATCTACAAAAAGCATTTGACACTATGTCACATATTCTACTCAGCAGACTAGAATGCATAGGAATTAGAGGACTGCCAAATCCTTTAATAAAATCATATCTGACAAATAGATATCAAAAGGTTATCATTTCTGGGGAACTGAGTGACAAGCTGCAGGTGGAGTATGGAGTGCCGGAGGAGACAGTGCTTTCACCACTGCTTTTTATTATCTATATAGATGAGATTATGTCTGCTACTTCAGAGGGTGACGTCTATTGTTTTGCGGATAACAGAGGAGTAAAAGTTAGTGGGGAAAATTGGGAATCAACAACAATGATAGCTGAAAGGGCAATGCAGGAAATAAAACACTGGATTGTTGATGGTAGTTTGCTCTCATTAAATCTCAATAAAACCAAATTTGTTGCTTTTTCATTCTCAGCTTGTCATTTACCAATTTTTCAAAATTTGAAAATTCATGAATCAGAATGTTGTAATTTTTCTCTGAATTGTAAATGTACGAAAAATATACAAAGAAAAACCAGTCTAAAATACCTTGGTATTTTGATTGATGAAAACTTAACATGGAAGGAACAAATAATTGCTATAACTGACAAAATTAGGAAATTAATATTTAAATTTTATGAGATAAGGAATGTAGTAAATCTTAAAACTTCGAAAACAATCTATTATGCACTGGTGGAATCTCTTATAAATTATGGAATTGTGATTTGGGATGGTGCAGGAGTGACATTTTTAGAAAAATTACAAATTACACAAAATTGGCTGATAAATTATTCAAAAGTAAATTCCAACGTTTCTGGTTTACAAAGATAGCAATTTTACTATCAATAAAACAACTTTATTATAAAGCCGTAATAAAATACATGTTAAAGAATCAGGAGTACAAAATCCATATATCTCATGGAAAAAACACAAGAAATGACAACCTTCAAAAACTCAGGCATACCGTGTCTGAAAGCAGGTAAAATCTCACATTTCTGACATTCAATTTTTGTTTCTGACCATGGATTCTGGAAATTTAGCCAAAACTGTATAACTTTTGTATTTACACCTATGATTTACACCTTTCTTCTACCAGTAAAGGTAAAAGCTGTAGGTGGGGTGTCAATATATGAAAAAACACCCTGTACATAAAGTACTCATTGACAAAGCACTGAAAATAATCTTAAAAATAAAGTCATAATAAATATACATATAATCCTAAATCCTAGTCTCTAGTCTATCAGAAAATTCTAAGTATAAAATCTGCAATAGACAGCAACAAAAAATAAAAAACGAGAACAAAATCCTAAACTAAAAACCATCACAATAAAATCCATTCAAACTATAAATATGCTGCACCAACCAGCATGCAACTTCTTAACTTACCTCCTAAAATATCTCAGGGAAGGGATGGATGTCAAATTCCTTGGCAAATGGTTGTAAATCATAATGCTTTCATATATAACAGATTTTTTACCGGTGTGGAGTGGGGTATGGGTAACATTAAATTGGACGCGTTCCGAGTCAAATAGGTAGCATAAATCTGTGCCGATTTTTGTAAACAAGTGTGACTGTTTCTAGAATAAACAGACTGTATAAAGTTAGGATTTTTCTTTCTCAAATAAAGGATTGCAGTGATCTCTATTGTTAGCACCTCAGAGCCAGCTTCTATAATATAAAAACAGAGTCAAACAGATTCTGAGAACAGAATCCCCAAAAACAGATTTCTTTCTGTCTTTCTTTGAGAGACTGACAATGTGAGATTCGAAACTCAATTCACTGTCAATAATAAGTCCAAGAAACTTAGTCTTAGGTCGGCATCTGTGAGAATAGCTCATTTGTGGTGTCGTCTGCAAAGTAAATTTGCTAGTAATATTCGGTCAACCCATTGCCATCAACATAATCAAAGATTACACTCCCACAGCAGATAAACTGAGCCAAGAAATGCAGATTTCTCAAACAAGTTGACCAAGCTCTTGAATTGACAAAGCCCAATCAATGTATAGAAATAATACTTGATATTGGGAGTGTTTAATGCCAAGGTTGGCAGGAAAAGACTAGAACCTGCAGTAAGAGACTACGGTCTCGGTGAAAGAAATGATAGAGGGCAAAAATTAATTCAATATTGTGAAGAGAAAGATCTCATAATAAAAACAAAATATTAGGAACCTCATAACTAAGGTTACCAATGTTACCATATTACCGCAATGCCGAGCCGATATTGAATCGGATCATAATTCACACTAGACGCCAAGTACCCCAAGACAGTTATAATTTTATTGGGAAAAAAATAACATAAAGCTGCGACTAGTCTAAATCGATAGGATTTATGGTCCTGATGAACATACTAAAAGTCCCCAGACCTCCGCCTAGGGGAACATTGTCAAAATTGCGCCGCCATCTTGGATTTTGACATTTTTTGCTTAATTTACGTTTTGCTCGATAACTACTAATTTTTCGAGAAAATGTCAGAAGGAATAAATTGAAGAGCACAAAAAAACCTTTGAAAAGAGTTATTCTTGAACTTCCTAGGTACTACTCTTACTGAGATACGAGCCGAAGAAGTACCGCCGAAATACCGCTTTCCA